GGTGAAGAATTGTCAAGTGGTAAGATCATAAACTTGGTAGGCTTTTTGGCTTGAAGGATATCCAATAAAAATGCATCGATAAGCTTTTGGTGAAAATTTGGCCAAAGGTTGCAAGTTGGTGGCGTAACAGAGAAAGTCAAAAGCACATAGATGTGTATATGTGGGAGGTTTGCCAAATAAAAGTTTATATAGCGATTTATGGTTCAAAACGAGGGTGAGAAGTTGATTTATAAGATAAGTGGCGGTAAGTAAGCTTTCACCCTAGAATTTCAATGGTAAATTGGTTTTGAATCTCAGGATATGACCAATATTGAGTAGGTATTTATATTTTTGTTCAACAACATCATTTTATTAAAGTGTGTGTACATAAACTTGGCATGACCAGTATTAAGTAGGTGTTTATGTTTTTGTTCATCAACATCATTTTATTAAAGTGTGTGTACATAAACTTTGGAATAAGATGCATAAAGTAGAGAGAAATGACTTTAAAGAGACGAATTCTACACCATTATCACTCAGTATAGTTTTAACTTGATAGTTAAATTAAGTGTTAACAAAAGTGACGAGTATTATTAATAAACTTTATGTCTCATATTTGAATTTTATTAGAGAACTCAAGGTAAAATAGGTGCAGTCATTCATAATAGTTAAAAAATAATATGTACTAGAATATATTTCAATTTTATATGAACATCAAATATCACAGTGTATAAGATTGAAAAAATAAGTATTTTGAATAGAGCTTATAGAAAAAAATAATTTTGTTTGTTTTACTAAAAAATAAACATCATATGAATGTGGAGAATCATGAAAAAAGTATAAAATTAGTTTTCACAGAAACTGAAAAGATAATTTGAATGAATCTTTTAATCTTTTATGTCAAATAATAGAAAAGAAATTAAAGTGGATGCAAATATGATTATAGCATAAAATAATATAGTCCTTATTTTACTTTCCCAGTCCAATCAATTATAGAGTATATAAAAAGAATAAAATTATATAATTGTAGCCATCCAGTGTAGAAAAGATGAATTGTGTAAAAAGTTTATTTAGAAAAAAATAGCTTGGATTTTTTTTATTGTGGTTTTTTTTTATACAAGTATTCCTCAATTTCTTTTTAAAATGTTACTGACATTAATCATTTATATAGTTAAAGTTGGCTTGATTACTAGCCAATAATTTAAATTGTCTTGCAATGTGTTTTTCTAGGTATTCTTGCACCAATTGACACTAATTTCTTTAAATTAACTTAAAAATTCATCTATATTATTATTATTATTGTTATTAATATTTTATTTTTATAATTTTTTAAGATTACATTTAGATTCTGTTTGCAAGATTTGAGAGAAATAATTTTAGATTTTGAGTTATAATTTGAAAATGATTTTTTTAAGATAATTTATGAAAAAATAAGTTCAATTCTAAGTATTGTTTATTGAGAAATAATTTAAATACATTTTAAAAAATAAAAGTTAAAATCTATAAATTAAAAGTTAAAAAAATAATTTCAATTAAAGAAAAAATGTATACAATTTCTTAACAACTTCTGATTTGAATTAAAGATTTATTTTGAATCAACATATTTATAACTCATACTTAAAATTAAAATTAAAAAATAACTTAAATCAATTATTAAAATCCATACCAAAATGTCGTGCACAAACCAAAAGATTTGGTTTTGCAAATTTGATGGCAAAAAACCGTATAATGACAAGAAATCACAGGCCCATATTAGCATCTCCTAAATATCTTATAGGCTGGCCACCACATTGCCCTAGGTGCAAGTTGAACTTGTATGAACAAGATGTTTTTATATCTTTTTATATTAGAATATTAAAATTATAAAAAAAAACACTTTTTCATAATATTAGTATATTAACTTAATGTTTTTTTTCAGACATAACAATTTGAAAGTTAGAAACAAAATGTCAAACATAAAAAAATGAAAGAAAATCTAAAATAATAATAATAATAATAAAAAGAAACCTTTCTCTCCTATGAATTATTAATTAGACTACCATGATTTTCTATAATCAAATAATTTTTCCATGTTTGATTGTTAGAAAGCAGTTGGCCATGATTTTCTATGCCTTTTCTAGTGCAGTGTAAGGTCAAAAGGCGTGTCACCTACTTGACATTTCTGTCACTTTAAGAAATTTACTAATTATAAACAATCACTCTTTCTTTCTCTTCTTGTTTTAAGAATGTGATTTCATGTCAACACATATAATATTAATTATTAATTTTTTAATATTAATATAAATATCTAGTTTACATACCTCTCAACTAATTAATCTCATTAATTTTAAAATTAACAAACATATAAATTTTTAATTGTTGATTTATAAAATTTAAATTAATAATTTTTAAAAAGCAAATTTAAAGTCTAGCCCCTTCAACTATTTTTTTTTATATATAAAATAATTGTACAAAGAATTAATTGTATGTTCAACAATAAATATTATATCTTTTAAGAGAGTTAGTAACTGAATTCAAATTTAGAACTTTGAAATAAGTATTTTATGCTCAGCACTCTGAAATAAGTACTATTGTAGATTTTGGAAGCTTGCGCAGAGGTTTGCAGCATATAGTTTATTTTTTACAGGAGAGCAAGGAATTATGTGCATCCAGCAATGAGGCCTTCTCTATCTTTTGATACAAACACTTGCGTGTGAGCCTCAAAAGTCATAATTGGTACTTTGGTTGACTATTGTTTGTGACCACAAGTAACCACTTAATCATATGGGACAAACAACAAAATTAGATTAGTTTATAGAGAAATATTATACCATCAAAGATGATTAATAATAATAATAATAAAACAAACTCGAAATAGTTGTAATGTATTCACTTAGCATAAGCATAATTATAAAAGCAAATATAGAGTTGACTCGTGCCAAAATTCTCAAAATTCACCTTAGAAATTATGTAGTTTGACTCGTAAATAACAAAAAATGCTCATAAAATAATGTTAATTTTTTTTATGAAAAATAAAATGACATTTGAAGCAAAATCTAACTTGAATTAGATTAACAAATCATTTAATTAACTTGATAGGCTAGGTTAGGTTTAATGTCTATGTTATTCAAAGTAAGCAATTCTTATTTTGACAATGGACAAAATACAATCTAAAATGGAGGATAAGAAGTACCCTAATTTGGCTAATTTGTATCTTTTTGTTCACGGATCTTTCTACAAGTGTTATCGATTATAGTTAGATTTGTTTTGTTATTATATTTTAAATTAATTTTTTTATATTATTTTAACACGTTGGTATTAAAAATAAGTTTTTAAAAATAAAAAATATATATTTTTAATATAAAATACTTTAAAAAACAATTATAATTACAGACCAAACCCATTAATGAAAGTTGCCAAGGGCCAGGGTATAAAAAGTCTCGAAGAGAATTTGTGGAAGAGGGTAACGTAAATGGAAAGGAGGACTCCTACTGCCATCATTGAAAATCATTGCGAAGGGCTGGTACTCTTCCCACATGGAGATGGCTTCACAAATCTCAGCCGCATCAGGAAATAGGAAACACAGTTTATTCTTCGTCTACCAAACTTTGAAGCCTGAGATCTGAGAATGGTCACTCACACCTTTCAGTGATTTTGCCTCATGACAACTTGAACAGGCAGAGGTCAGAATCAAATTCATGAAAGAAACCGTGAGATCTAAATCTTTTTTTCTGACAGGGGTAAATTTCATTAATCCTTGGAAATTACGAACAACAAAAACTCATAATAAAATAGATGTGGCTATGGAGAATTGGACATGTTTTTTTTTATTAAAATAAATATTTGGATAATTTATATGTATCTTAACTAATTTTATAGATTTTAAAATTAATAATTATATAAATTTTTAATAATTTTAAAATTTATAAGATTTAAATTAATAATTTTTCAAAAATAAATATAAAACTTATCAATTAAATTATACCTTTTAAAATTAAATTAAATTGATGATGTTTTTGAACCTACTGAAAATGGCTCAATACCTATCCGCTTTCTAATGACAGTCTTAACGCATGTTCTTGAAGCTACTGAAAATGGCTCAAGATTGCACCTACCGGGACATAAATATTACTGTACCAACAAAAATCTCAGAATTTATGGTGCCAACAAACAAAAAACCCCCTATTTTTATATTTAAGAGATATAATGTTTATTTATGCTGTTGGATCAATTTAAAAAAAATAATTTTTTTAGTTTTAAATTAAATTTGTTATAATATTTTTTGAATTGTTTTAATGTGTTAAATAAAAAATAAAAAAATATATTATTATGATATATATACTAATAAAAAAATATTTTATAAACAATATCTTTATAATTTCAAACATGCTATTGCTAGTGGCAAGTCTTCGATAAAATTAATAAAAAAAATTAAACTTTTTTAAAAATGAATCGGGCAGTCTAGAACTAGATGAACTAGATGAAGCTAAAACTAAAGAAGGTTGAAGATATAGAAACTGAATAGAAAACACAGTAGTGGATGGGTGCAGCTGCAAAACAATGTTTCGTGCATATAAACTTGTTGTCGGAGCTTGGAGGTGTTCCGTTGAAACAATGGCGTGACCGACATGTAGGAGGATATTTTAGATTACAATAACATTTATTTTTTAAAATATTTTTTATTCAGATATATATTAAAATAAAATAATTTAAAAAAATAAAAAAATAAATTTAAAATAAAAAATATTTTTTTTCCAAAAATATTTTTACCTTATCCTACTTAATAACATACAAAGAGAATATATTAAGAAAAGAATTTGTTTGGTTATGTGTGATTAGTACGAGGAAATGTAATAAAAATAACATTTTACTTTTTATAAATATCTTATTAATTAATTTAATTCATAATTTTATATAAATTCAACTAAAAACTCTTTTAAAACTATAATTATAAAAAAAACTATACTTTATAATTTTTTCTAAAATTATTTTTTAAAACTATAACTGAAAAGAAAAAAAAAAGCCCTACTGAAGAATGCCAATTGCTTACACGGAATGCTAAGCTTGATAATATAACAATCCCTCATTCTTTCATCCCAAAAAGATTTTCTTTACATGCATCTACTTCTACCTCGCACCTGTAATAAATGATATTTCCTCCAAACCCCGATTCACACATACGCTCTTTCGCCTAAGAAATATTAAAGAAGTCAAAAAAAGCCACAAAAACCTAGCCATTTATTTTCAATTCCTAGTACATTTCGGGGTGCCAAACCCTAAATTCAACTACAAAATGAGTAGGCGATGAAAAAAATGTTGAACGAAAATATAGGTCATCTCCATCACAAGAGATGCGTGCATTGAAAACAAAACTTAAGTCTTACTCTGCAGCATCTTTTGAAGAAAGAAATCTTGAAGACTGCAAAATGCCCACTTTCCTGCACAAAATGATCACCGCCGAAAACATGGATAACAAAATGAAGTGCTGCCAGGCCACCCTTACACCCAAAACTCATAAGAGAGAAGAAAAGGGAAAAAAAGAGCTGGATCACACAGCAGAGATTCCAGTTAAATCTAGCTGGGATCTCACCGCTTGGGAGCCTTGAGCCAAGAGAGTGCATTAAGGAGGCGGCAGATCAGAGTGTATTGCTTTACACATTACCTAGATACAAGACTTGATACCATAGGGAGTATAAATTGTTGGAGACCAGAAATGTGACAGCACAATCATCATACTCTCATGGGGGCTCCCTCTAGATTATACATGAATATTAGAAACAAGACAGGTATAACATGTACCACTGTTGAAGCATCTCAAAATATATGGAGCATCAAAAAGGGACACGAAAGAATGCGTAAGCAGCACACAACATAAATGCAAGAATAATGAAGCTATGGAAGAAGCCAAGAGGCATGCTTGGATGGTGAAGGATGGTCAGTGTAGTCATGCAAACCACATAGCTTTTTAGCTCTGCTAGACATTCCATTTCTTAAGGAGGTTGACTCTTGATTCCCAACAGTGGTTCAACGTTGCCTAGCAGGGTAAAGATTATATGGAGGTTAAAATGAATAAAGCAATGGCCACCCACCATCACAATAATATTTCATAAAATTTATACGGTAATACAACCAAGCACCCTAACAATTAGCAATTAGCCAGAGAACATTTCACCACTTCTTTCATCTCACAAACTCTTAACCAGTACACACTCGAGTCTTTACAATTCCAAATAAGTCAGAGGTGATACGGTCTTCAACTGGGACTTGCACACTAACTATAAAGATGTCTATCACCGATGAAATGTGTAGATACTAATGACTGTCTGTGAGTATATATGAACACAATTTTGCATCTTGAACAGTAACAGTAAAAATTTGATTACGTTGCCAATCTAATGAAGATGGAAGACAAATAAGAATAAATCATCATCAACAACAACAACAACAAAAGCTGTAGTGACTCACATGATTTCAAGCAGCGGTTCCAGTTACTTTTCCAATAGTCTTGAGATCGAAGATTTCAGTCCAATAGCCATCAGGATCCTTGATGAATGCTATCCCTTTCATTTTTCCAGCAACCAGACTCACAGATCTTAGGCAAGTAATTATAACATATAAATTAAATGATGAACCGATGGTAATATAAATGCCTATGTTGCACCATAAACCCAAATAAAACAACTATTTTCCAGATCATATTAAGTCATTGATGCAATAATTTTTTTGGCCTATGATAAGGAAAAGAGGAAAATAAAATACAATTGGACAAGCAAAGATAAACTGGGTTAAACATTAGTAAATTTGTGTTTGGTGACGCCATTGGAAGTGCTTATCAGTTAAAAAGGCACCACATTAATGCTTTTTTGGGTACCTTTTAGATGGTTTTAAGTTGAGGATGTCAAAACCATTGAAAAGCACACCAAAAAGCACTTCCAACCACATTACTAAACTAAGGTAGTGTTTTGGAGATGGTCCTGCTCCAGCCAAGCAATCATAACACTTATCAGTTAAATTCAAACTAAATAGAGAATATTCGTATCAATTCCCTTCCTTGGACTATGGATTAGTGAGGAGATACATATAAAGACAACTGCAGAGGTATGAGGGCAGAAGTAACAGCCACCAATATGTGCGTCAGCACAAGAGGCAGATGGATGCATCATCCAGAATGTTACCTTTTATATCAAATTAATATAGAGAAAGTTTGCACAGAACAACTTGCAGGTTAAACCATTGATTGATGTCATGTATAGGACATAACCCATGCCCAAGATTAACATTGATTTTATCTTGCCAAATAGCAAACAATTTAACCTGATCACTCCATCGAACATAAACTAACACCAACAATGTGCGAGATGCTCATATTAATTAAGGGCTAAACTATTTTATTATCTAACAGAGGTGTCTTACCATCGTTAGGTTTTTTCACAAACTCCACACCTAGGCGTTCAAATCTCTCGCAAGCCTTGTATGTGTCATCAACAGTAACACCAATATTTCCTGAAATGCAAACAGAAACTGTAAATGTTACTTCTTGCTTGGGATAATCATCCTTTACAAATACGGTAAAATACACATAAAGAAAACAAAAAACTAATCTTGTATGATATCTAATTATGAGAGTCAAAGAAATATTTACACAAAGAGCAGTGTGTTTTGAGGATTTGCACCTGATATAAAAATTACTTCTTGCTTGGGATAATCATCCTCTACAAATACAGCAACATACATCTAAAGAAAACAGATCTTGCATGATATCTAATTAGGAGAGTCAAATAAATATTGACACAAAGAGCAGTGTGTTCTGAGGATTTGCACCCTTTCTTATATCATATAGAAACTAAACTGTAAAAACATAACAGCTTAATTTGAGCCATGCCTACTTGAAGCAATCAAAAGCTCTTGTCACAACCTGTATTGACAGGAAAGTAATCCTTTCTGTTCCAGGGCTTCATTATGATCCTTTAGGGTGCAGGATTGCATTCACCTACTCTTCATTTAAGTTTATCAGTTTATGTTTTAACATTTCTTCAAGGAAAAGTGAAAAGCTTTTAAACTTTGGGTTATCGATGACTCAAATTTGATGGAATCAATTATCAGAGAGACACTATGAATATGAATTTCAAAGCATATATTATAGCATTGTTGCCAACCATATTCATCCAACTTAAAAGCATTTTGCTAACATGACATTGATTTTGTGATCCTAAGAGGCCTTATAAGCCACCGATAAATATCTTGTTCACATCTTGTGCTCCATTCCTATTAAAAAACCACCAATAACAACATAAAAAACCAGTCCCGAGAGAAACCCAAACTGCACTGATAGCTTTCTCAAGTAAACTCCATATATCTTTGTCTCACTGTTCTCGTACAATAAAGGTGTATACAAAGTCACAGCGCTTTGAATTTCACAATAAAAATATGCCTTACTATGCATTCATCAATTAAAATGTACTTTTCCTTTAAATAATCAAGCTGATAGGAGGATGGTGGTAAAAATAAATGCATTCTCAGAAAGTTTTACCAGCCAAATTGCATTCAAGTAGTACACAGTCCCAGAAAGCAGAAAATCAAAATCATCAGTCAACACTATGTGATGGATGAAAACAGTATTGAAGTTGGAAATTACATGTATTACATATATTGACAAATTCCACCTGAATCATAAGATCTTACATACCAAAGCAACGAGGTTCTGAATTTCCGTTGTGATATTTGAACCCAGGATCACTTTCTGTGCCCCAATTACTGTTAGAAGCATTTAATTATCAAAACATATAGGAAACAATAGGCGCTAATAAGGAAAAAAGAGAACTAATATGTTTTAAGAAACAGGAAAGAAAATGATCTGCATCAATCATTCTTACTGGGTTTCAGGAGAATTAAAGATTAAGGATATGGGATTGTTGTTTAAAGCATGAAACGGTGACGGTCTTACAAGATTTTGTTGCTTGGGGTGTTCTTCTAGCTGAGAGTCATAAATAATAAACAAAACCTTTAGTTCTGGAATGGAAACATAAACGGTTCGGTTTTCGATGTGAAGAGGATGAGGTACGAGGTGTGAATTCAAGAAAGGGGAGGCGAGATAACAATGCTGTAGCGGTGGTTAGTGAACAAGCGGTAGCCATAAGAGGTTGACAGATTATCAGTTTCTTTACCTTCAATTCAAACTTGAAAATGAAGCTCTGCCGTTTGGCATTAGCTGTTAGCTATTAGTTTCTTATTAATTAAGGTATCAATGCAGCTTAGGTGATTTTTCTTTTCTAATCACCTAATAGAAAAGACTAGGTTTTTCTTCTTCTATTTCTGATGCTTATGTCATGAGTCTTTTTTTTCTTTTCAATCTAAAAAACTAAAAACATTAGAAAGTAAAAAACTTAATTTATATTAACTAAAATATTTTTTGCAGATTTTTTTTAAATAATAAAATAACAGAACACCAAATTGACCTGAACCAACAATGATTATTATGTAAAACTTACAACATTGATATACGATGGTATAAAACTATGGAAGCCATATTAAAATAAAATAAAAGGCCCAATTATAACAAACTAAATATTAAAGGTAAAAAGTAAAATAAATAAATTAAGTAAATTTGTATTAATGGTCGACGCAACACTTTGGTGTGTGAGTCAAGCTCTGATATTAAAAATAATAACCAATCCACTAGTAAGAACCTCATAAATTTGTTATTGACAGTCACGTATAACCTAAAAATATCTTACTAGTCAAGGTGAGCGTGCTCATATAACATCTTCCCCTAAGTTCTCACTTACCGATATGGGATATTACAGTATCCTTTAACCACTAACCAAACCTTATACTTTTTTATATCACCATCAATATTTTGCTTTATTTTAAGAATTTATTTATTTTTAATGACTTCGTATTTTTTTAGGAAATTAACTAATTTTTAAAATTGGTTTGATTTCACCAATAGATTTAATATGTTTTTCCTTATTAGGACATGTTAGAACTTCATTTATATTTCTTGGCTTCTTTTTATCTTATGGAGTAACAATTAGTGCTTCCCTTCCAATCTTAAAACTATAATGAATGTTATGACAACCAATTCATTGTAACTAAGATTGATTCATTGATAAATCAAAGATAATATTACTCTCATTTAAACTAACAATCATCAATGAATTCATCATGGTAGCGATTAAGCTTAAGCTGAAACTAATTTATCATCCCTTAAATATCTCCCACTAGAAAATGAACCCATTTGTATTTGTATAGAAAAAGCATTATGGTGTCTCGAGTTTTATAAAAAGACAGATATTAACCTACTTTTCTCTATTTAGAAAAATCATTCACTAAAAATATTACATATTGTTATTCAAATTTAGTTATATTTTTACTTTCTTGTTCACCTATGAATACATGTCCCTTTGAGTGCTCAAAATATCTTACAAAAATACAATTTTTACTTATTGGACCTATTATTCATATTTATTAGAAAAATACTCTAGTCACTTTTACATTTTTCTCATAATTCAAACAACATAGTTTAATTGACTTAGAGGGCTCTGATATCAAATATAATACTCCAATCCACTAGTAAGAACCTCACAAATTTGTTATTAACAGTCACGTATAGCCTCAAAATATCTTATTAGTCAAGGTGAGCGTGCTCATATAACATCAAGCTCTGATATTAAAAATAATAACCAATCCACTAGTAAGAACCTCATAAATTTGTTATTGACAGTCACGTATAACCTAAAAATATCTTACTAGTCAAGGTGAGCGTGCTCATATAACATCTTCCCCTAAGTTCTCACTTACCGATATGGGATATTACAGTATCCTTTAACCACTAACCAAACCTTATACTTTTTTATATCACCATCAATATTTTGCTTTATTTTAAGAATTTATTTATTTTTAATGACTTCGTATTTTTTTAGGAAATTAACTAATTTTTAAAATTGGTTTGATTTCACCAATAGATTTAATATGTTTTTCCTTATTAGGACATGTTAGAACTTCATTTATATTTCTTGGCTTCTTTTTATCTTATGGAGTAACAATTAGTGCTTCCCTTCCAATCTTAAAACTATAATGAATGTTATGACAACCAATTCATTGTAACTAAGATTGATTCATTGATAAATCAAAGATAATATTACTCTCATTTAAACTAACAATCATCAATGAATTCATCATGGTAGCGATTAAGCTTAAGCTGAAACTAATTTATCATCCCTTAAATATCTCCCACTAGAAAATGAACCCATTTGTATTTGTATAGAAAAAGCATTATGGTGTCTCGAGTTTTATAAAAAGACAGATATTAACCTACTTTTCTCTATTTAGAAAAATCATTCACTAAAAATATTACATATTGTTATTCAAATTTAGTTATATTTTTACTTTCTTGTTCACCTATGAATACATGTCCCTTTGAGTGCTCAAAATATCTTACAAAAATACAATTTTTACTTATTGGACCTATTATTCATATTTATTAGAAAAATACTCTAGTCACTTTTACATTTTTCTCATAATTCAAACAACATAGTTTAATTGACTTAGAGGGTATATGATGAAGTATATATATGACAGTTGATAGTGCATCATCGAAATAGGTTATAAGACTTAGAGGGTATATGATTAAGTATATATATGGTAGTTAATAGTGCATCACCGAAATAAATGATAAACAAATTTACTTGTGTTATCACTGACTTAATCATTTCAAGTAGGGTTTCATTTCTTTTTTTATGAACTTTATTTTGTTATGAAATTTTAGAAATAATCAATTATCATTCTATTCCTTTTTCATCACATATTTATATGAACTAATTAGATAAATACTTACTTTCTTAATTGGTTTTCAAAGTCCTTATTTTTATGTGTAATTAATTCTTAACAAGGCTCATATATTTTATAAAGCAATTTAAAGCTTTTAACTTATTAGATATCAAAAAACATAACCATATTAAATAAAATTATATATAAATGTAATGAATATACATCATCATGCCTTGCCTATCATTTGATCATAAATGTTATAATTATTTAATTAATTCTAATGAAAATTTAACTCTAGTTAGACAATATTCATAAATAAACAAATCTACTCTTCCAACGCTTCTAAATAAGTCTTGTTTGTCCAGATTATTCATTTGTTATTGGTTTATATAGCCTAACTTTGCATGCCACAAAGTCATATCATTATCATAATTAATAAAAGTTGCAAATAAGAAAAAAAAACATATATTACTAAGATTAAAATAAATATCCAATACAATAAAAGCATCCAATAAATATCCTGTACCATAAAAACTTATTCTTAATGATAAGTTAGCACCTTTTTTAGTAAAACTAACATAAAAACTACATTATAATGAATTTTAGGAGCATATAATACATCATATAGAAATAAGATTTGTCCTTCATGCATGACTACCTTGCATGTACCAATCTCTTTCACCTTTAGTTGTTTATTATATATATATCAATTGTGTTCTATATAGGACTTACCAATATTTAATAAAAGCTTCCTTATCTTTTGCTATATGGTGAGTGGCTCTTGAGTCTAAACTCCATAAAGGATTGGATCCAGTTAGAAAAACAGAACTATAGACATTTATTGTACTCATAAATACAATAAATTATATTATCTTTTTGGGCTTGATATAATGACGAGCAAAACATCCTTTATTGGCATAGTTTAAACACTTTATTTTTACGACATTCTTCATTTCTTCTTTAAAAAACATCTATATTTTTTAGATTAAATATTTGCTTCTTAGTGACTTTCCCTTTACCTTGCTTATACTGAGATCTATTTTGATTTTTACATTTCTTTTTTCTTATACCTTATAAACTAAAACCAATCATATACATATCGGTTCTAGATTTGTTGTCTTTAAAATAATCTTTTTTCCAACTCAAGACGTCGTATTGTATCCTTTATCATTTTTATATTTTTATTATGGGTTAGACACATCTTCATATGCTCTTAGTTATAAGGTAAAGAGCATATGACAAATTAGACTAATTATTGCTCGTTCATTAAGGTATGTTCATTAAGGTATAACCAATATCTTTTAGCTCACTAATCATGTTTGATATTTATCTTAAATGATTTTATTTTTTTTATTTTATTATATGTTTTGGTTGCTTCTTATAAGTGTCAAACTTGATAGCGAGAGATCGATTTAATTTTGGTCAAAGATGAACCTCCAAACTTTTCTTTTAGTATTGTCATACATTTTGAACTCTCACATGATATCATCATTCAAACTACTTGGTTGCGTAATGTGAGCAATAAAGTTTCTTTTCTTCCAAACCTCGTAAGCTTTACAAACCCTTCTATATAAGGTCATATTGCTATTTTATAGTTTTTTTATGAAAACATTAAGTATTTCTAAAGCCTTTTGCTCCTCAAGCACTTATTAGATTTTCATATTCTAGATTTCATAAATTTATATCTTGTATGATTTTTTAAATGATGCATATTAGAGGTTTCATTGCCGTATTAGGGAACTTTCCTTTGTTCTGCAAGTTTTTTCTTAGGCAAAAGCCTTAATTTCTTTATAACTACAATCTACTTCAATTTTAAAAAAAAAAAAACTTTAGGAGAGGTTTTTTCATAACCTTATAATGTTAGCCCAATGATACCCATTGCTACTAATTCTGATGAATCATACCATCACTTGATTACTAATCATTTTTTTAATTTTATATTGATATATATTTATTATCATTTATATCATATTAAGGATTCTTTATATGTCTTGAAGTTATGCATAACGTTGACTTGCATTAATGAGACCTTTTCTTCTAGATTAGTTTTAGATGTTATATTTATTGTGACTTAAGTTTGGAATAATTTAACTCTTGAAACCTACTAATTATACCCTAAGAAGCAACCTTAAAAAGTTATCCTCATGAGACCACTCTACTAATTATACCCTAAGAAGCAATCTTAAAAAGTTATCCTCATGAGACCACTCTAAAAAATTATCTCTAAAATGCCTTAAAACACTTTGTATTCACACCTAATAAAAAGCTTAAAACCTCTCATAAACTAAATAATCATACAATATATCATTCTTGAGACTTTTGATAAACTAAATAGTATGTAATAAACTAGTTAATCATAACAGATATAATTTTCAAGGATAACCGGTAAACCAGACAACCATGCTAGATATAATACCTCGAGATAAACAGTATACAAGATAATTTTC